ACTATTTACATATACATTCATCATCAACATATGTTTCTCCCCGCTATTTGATATATGTATATGTTTTGTTTACATGTGTGTTGTTTACTTCTCTTTCTTATATTTGGTACAGGTTATTCCAGCGAAGCCAATCATATCTTTTCTATACGTCTTCTACATTGGAATTAAAAGGTGAGGTAATTCATAAATAGAGGAATCATATGTGTGTTAGTGTAATAACTACTTCTTTGTATGGAATCACGGATACTCTCTCGCATGCCTATTTAAGAAGATATGTATTAGTCGTATTCTACGACACACACACACACACATTTACAGTTAAACATAAAAGGTGCATGTGTACCAATGAAACTTTACTTATATATATATATATGTATAATATGTATAAATACGCATGCCTCTTCTACGTTTCTAATAATTTATATAAAACTATTTGAAGAATCAAAATTTATAATGTAATATTCAATTATTTAAACTTTAATGATTCATAATTTAAATATTATAAAATGATAATCTGAAAAGAACGACTTTCAAAAGGAATTTATCATATCAGAAGTTTATTATCATTATGTGGTAGATAATGTCCATGTGGAAATGGTATAACTGAGATTAATACAGTACCTACTATTGTTCCATTTTATTATAATGATTATTGCTAACAAAAAAAACTTAACAATCTATTTAAAATTCATACTTTATTTGCTCTAAATTAAATGTTCAAGAGTATAATAATTGTCGAATGAAATAAAGGAAATAGATTTGAAATAGTTTTATAAAGTGAAACAAAAGTAATATAAAAGAAAAACAAAAATATAGGAATATAATTATACTCCAATAATAATGGGAGTAAAAATAATTGCTGAGAGAAAGTTAAATCGACAAAAAAAAGAAAAAATTGTTGTAAATATATACGTTCGAAACTATATATATATGTCTTAAATTAGAAATTATATATCCACTTGAAATAAAACTGGCATATAATAAAAACAGGGATTTGAGTATGGCGTCGTTAACCTGTACTGGGCGTGAACGGAAGAACATAGCGATATTCGCATTACTCTACAATGATTTCAAATGGAAATAAACGCTAAGTAATATATCATTTATTATGAATAATCTTATAACACGTGTATTCAATATATCGAAGAAAAGAATAATTCGCGAATATGTATATTGAATGAATGGATCGTAGATCAGTTCGTTTCGATGTTTATTACGTGCATAGTGGTGGCAGCACCTGTCTGTGTTATACGTCAAAAATATTAAACGCTTACCAGAGAGAAGTGTTTTTTTTTTCTCCTATTGTAATAGTGAATAAAGTAAGGATAAAACATTAGATCTACTTTAAAATAAGAAATACACGGTAAACATTTATAATTTATTCGTTGTTGTTTTTTTTTTTTTTTTAACTCTTATGTATCATCTAATAGATACGTTCTATACGAGAACAAAATTTATTTTCAATGTAATTGCATTTAAATGAATGTTAATTCAGTTGCAAAATAATTAACTCTTACCTACGTAACAATTTGTATAATTACGTCAACTAGAAGAATTGTAAAAAAAAATATCTTTATTATTTTAAACGTATTATTTTATTTTTACTTGGATTAGAGATTATTAGATGCTTATAACCTCTTTAAATTCGTCAATAGAACATAGAGACAACTTATAACAATATCATTGTTTTTTTTTTTCTTTTACTTTTTATACAAGATAATTCTTATTCCTTCTAGCACATTTTTATCGATTATTGGAAGATTTCTTATGCAAATCACTTAAATTAGTTGTAGCAAATAAAAAATTGTTTACTGTTTTATTCAGACGTCACAATATGTTTCTATCATAATAGAAAAATTCTTCTATGCATATGTCTCTGTTAGTAAAACTAATTTGCATGATTATATATATATATATATTGATAAATATTTAATTAATATATTGTAATATTCTTATTTTTGATGACAATGTTATTTTGTAAATTTCAGGAATAACTTTTAAGGTAATGAAGAGGAATCATTATTTCCATGGTGGTTACGGTAAAGTGGCTATTGCCAGTTAATCCAATACCATAAGATAATGGAGAATCAAAACCATCATAATCAGATTCTTCAAACTCATCAATCATTTTGGAAAAAGAATACTAGAGCGGTACCAGGCAGGTATGCGTTGTATAAAACACATTATCTATAATTATGTTTTATAAAAATATGATAAGAGTTAAGCAAATTGTGATTTATATCTAATAGATTCCGTACTTATTTAAAGGCCAAGTCCCAAACAAGATGTTAGACACGATAAGATAGGTGCAACAACAATTGCATCCGGTAGCTTGAGTGGTACAGTTTCAGTCAGTAGCAGTGGAAATGCAGGTGGAGGAAGTGGTTCTACATCATTTCAAGATTTCCAGGAGAGCGTGGATGATGCTTGGGATTCTGGAGATGATGAATTTTGTACAGTTTCTGATGTAAAAATATCTAAAAGAGTTAGTCATTCAGCCGCACTTAGTGTAATTAACAGTCATAGATCTGGCACCGCGAGCAAAGAATTACAAACAAATCCTAAATTAGTCCAGCGAACTCAAGAAATCATTCCTGAAGAAAAAAAAGCAGAGGCTCTCCAAAGATTAGCTGTCCAGCCGTTGCATCTTAGGAATGCTAACTTGTCTGTTTATTCTCAAATTAATAACAGTCAGCATTCTATAGACAATTCTGATTCAAAATTTGGGCAGAATACTTCTCCCCATCATAGGCCAACGCAATTTCCTGGTAGACCACTTCCATTAAGGCAAACAAATTCTTCTACAAAATTTTTTATACCTTCGAAAGAGCAAGGTAAGAAAACATATCGATTACTTCTAACATCAATGATTATCCATGCGTTATCTATATATTATTATTTGTAGATGGAGAAAGTAAAATAGATAAATTTCAATGTCTTTTGGAAGCATCTGTATTAAATTTAGAAGAATTAAGACAGTTGTCGTGGTCAGGGGTACCAGCGAAGTTACGATCTGTTACATGGAGATTATTGTCTGTAAGTAAGACAGGTAATTCATACCGTACATGTATACATTTAATTTACCTTTTAACTAAATATTATTAAATTATTAAATATCATGCACAGGAATATCTTCCAGCAAATATAGAAAGGAGACAACATGTCTTAGAACGTAAGCGTTTAGATTATTGGAATCTAGTAAAACAGTATTATGACGTGGAAAGAGATGAAGGATTCCAGGATACATATCGTCAAATTCATATTGATATTCCAAGAATGTCTCCCCTTATCTCATTATTTCAACAATCAACTGTACAATTAATTTTTGAGAGAATACTTTATATATGGGCAATTCGACATCCAGCTTCTGGCTATGTACAGGTATATTGATAAATATGAGTATTATAATATTATTGAATTTTGTTTTATGTTTATTATATAGCTATGTTACTATTATATTCTGCCTATTCTAAAAATATTTAAATGTTGATTTTAGTTTTCATATTGTAGGGTATGAACGATCTTGTCACTCCCTTCTTCTTAGTATTTTTGCAAGAGGCTATACCAGTATCAGCTTGGCAAGATATAGAGAATTATGACGTGGCATCTTTGAGAAAAGAACAACGTGATATTATTGAAGCAGACAGTTTTTGGTGTTTATCCAAGTTTCTCGATGGTATTCAAGATAATTATATATTTGCTCAGTTAGGAATACAACATAAAGTTAATCAATTAAAAGAACTTATTCAAAGGATTGATGGTACTTATATATCATTGATATGTATAAAATATAAACTCTTCGTTAAATTATAAATATTAAAGGAAAAAATGATCTATTATAGCTCCTTTGCATCAACATCTTCATCAACATGGAATAGATTATTTACAATTTTCCTTTCGATGGATGAATAATTTATTAACTAGGGAAATTCCATTGCATTGTACGATTCGCTTGTGGGATACCTACCTAGCAGAATCAGATCGATTTGCTTCGTTTCAACTTTACGTATGTGCAGCTTTTCTTCTTCGTTGGAGACGTCATCTACTCTTACAACCCGATTTTCAGGCAAGTTTAATTTTTCTACTTTATATTTTCATCTTATAATATTGTTAAGAGATCATAGTACTTTATATAATTAAATATTGTTTTTAAATGTAGGGCTTAATGTTGATGCTACAGAACTTGCCTACACTGAACTGGACAGATTCAGAAATAGGTATTTTGGTTGCGGAAGCTTATAAATTGAAATTTACATTTGCAGATGCACCTAATCATCTGCAAGCTCATGACTCCAGGTGACCTTTTTTCTACATGTTCGGTTAATATTGTTACTATAGTGGCCAAAAAAAAAAAAAAGAAAACTGGCATTAGTTCTTATTGCCAGTTTAATTTATTAATTTTCTCTTTTTATAATTATATAAGAGTGAAAGTCACAGTCCACTGTAATTATTTTGAAAAGATTTAATCATTTGTTTTAACTATTTTCTTTAATTCTGATAATCGTTATGTTTTTTAAAGACGCGTAAAGTCTTTATAAATTTTATTTCTATTTCTATAGTAGCATATTATAATTCAATTACAAATATACTCGCCATTTTTTAGTTTACAGATATGTAAACATAAGAGGTAAAAGAGAAACTTAACGCGAATTGATATTGCCATATTTTTGATTCACGTTATGTTTAGATAAATGCCTCTAATATATTATATATATATACATATATATATATATATAGATAATATATAAACAGAAGTTTTATATATTGATACGATGTTTTTGTTTTTTGTATATTATAATTCTATTCCCCAATTTTATTTAAGATTAAAAAGATGTGAAAGTTTGAGCCACGTCAATTCATCGAAATACTTTAATCACTTACCAGTGCGATAATGTCATCGTGTTCTACATATTAATACATCAAAGGTAAGTATAAATTTATTATAATAAAATTCTTATATAGTTTCTTTTTTTTTTTTTTACAATGTTAAGAATAAATATAATTACATACAAAATGACAACTATCTCATATTATTTAAAGAATAAGTTTTACTTAACTTATATTCATTTTCACTTCACATTTTTTCAATCATCTTCTACATCTATTTGACCGTAATCTAAATCAAACGGTTGCATAGCTGACAGTGTCTCATTAAAGTTAAATGTTTCCTGTTAAATGAAAACAAATGTTTACAATTTTTTTTTTTTTACATTATTTGATAGAATATAAGGTGTCAAATACTCACGTAATCAACTGTAACAGGTGTTGGAAAAACACAAGGCATACATTCCGTTTTGGTAATTCCATTATTATCGGCCGTACATTCGCAGTGTTGACATGACCGTGGAATGGCAGTTAGTGCTATTCTTTTAGAAAATACAGTAACAAACTTTTTGATCGAAACGAGCTTATCAAAACGTAATTTATCTCCACTGAATATTGTTCCATTAGTCTCTAAAGAAAGTGGTGTACAATATCCTAAGACATTTTTCATCGATTTCACTTGCTTCCTTAAATCTGTATCGCCTGTAAAAATTCTCGAATCTTTTTTTGTATACAATTTACTAGCATCGAATCCATAAAAGATTTTATTAAGTTTTTCTTTTTCAAATTCAAAATCACCATCCATCAATATATGTAATACAATATCGTGTTCTAGCAATACTTGATGTACTACAGCGTAATCCAACTAAAAAAGAACATAGAATATTTCATTTAAAATTAAATAAAAATACAAATTAGTATATTTCATACATACCGTTTGATTTTCCGGTTCACAATGGGAACATGGTAACAAGATGAAAGTTTTTGAAACTCCAGCTCTAAATACTAATTGCGAAGCAAAACCAATAGCCGCGAATATATCTTGATTACCATCACTAACTGGTATGTGATCAAAATAATCGATAAAACGCATTACATTTTTAGTAAAAACTTGTCCATCAAGGATAACGTTCCTTGGTTGATCGTAAACTCCACGACCACCAAAAGTAACGAGTGACCAATGATTAGAAGTTAATCCTTTGTCTTTGAGTTCTTTGTTCAATTGATTTACAAGTTGTTCGATACTACGATTTTGTCTGATATTACGATTACATTCTTTTGCTTCTACAATAAAAACTATGTCCGTTGATTTTGGTACAGTATCTCCTTCTAATTTTTTAAATTCACCTTCGGCTATTTGAGTATTGTTTATCATAGTACAAGTCGTACATCTATCGGGAATTCTCAAATACGTGTTGTGAAAAACGCATACTTGCATATACGCTATGACAATTGTACATGCCTCGGATTGTGTAGTACTACTCAAACACATTATAGCGTATTCTTTCGGATCGAGAATAGCAAAACACGAACTAAATTCCGAAGTTTGATTGACAAAAATTTCTTTACAAAATGATGTTACACGTTCGTTTGTATCTTCATTCTTTTTCGGAGAATATACTTTTTTCTTGCAACTATTTTCAGTAGACCAACTTTGTGCAAAACGATTTATATCTTTAGTTATTATACCTGATGACATAATTGAATCGTCTATCTTTTCATTATTCATCGTACCAAGAAGACCTGCTGTTTTTCCGTAATACCATCCAGATAATTCCAACGTACACAAGTCAAATTTAAGATTACATTCTAATCGTAATTGATCTTTTTTACGTTCAATCGTTACTATGTTTTCTTGTTGATACACATACGTCGTACCATTGTCTAATTCTATCGGAAGAGGAAGATTACTCTTTGACTCCAACGATGCATTTGAATTCAATCTTACCACCTGAAATATATGAAACAATGTTATCATGTTTTAATATAATCGATATAAAACAAATTATATAAATAAAAGTTTTTTTTTAACTGACATTGTTGAAAATATCGATCTCTATTTCATTTTTGCCAATCAATACGATGATACTATGAGTCAGTTTGTCGGATTCTTGATTGTATTTAATAAGAATGGCAAAGGTATTTTTAACGAAATCATGAGCAAGTAGATAAGTGCAAGAACCAAATAGATCAAAATGTAATCCATCGAAGGTCTTGAAGTGTCGCGATCCGATTATCATTGCTTGTGCTGAAAATATAAGATTGAAATAAATATTTGATTTATATAGATATTAATAAAGAAATGTACCTTTAAACGGTGGTAACCAATTCGAAGGTTCGGTATATGGTTTATAGTGATAATAAAGACTCCAGAATGTAGTATTAGATGTTACAAAATAAGATCCCATATCAGTGATCATTCTGTATTCTGAAATCTCATGGAATTCAGGTGTTTGATTGAAAGCATGCCAAGACATAGGAAGTTTTTGTTCGAGACACATTAACCCTTGATTCGGATCAAAGATAAACTTTGTCTTGGCTTCCCTGTAACGACTTTCAGCTTGTAAAGCTGATTGGCTTATATCGATCAACTTGGCATGAGCAAATCTAATAACATTTTCTATTTTAACTCGAATTTCAAAATAATTGTAAAAGTAATTAACTTTATCGTATACTTGTTGCATTTTATCTAATGCATAATGAACTGATGGTAATTTTTTCAATTCTTTTAATTCAACTATAATTTCATCGATAACGTCCTTCAATTCTTTACCAAAAGGTACAAAAGCGAAATAACGTTCTTTTAAAAATTGTATCACCAAACCGGAATATTTTTCTATGTTAGTAATTATATCATTTCCTTTGATATCTTTGTAAAATTTATCAATGTCTTGTGTTAAGTTAGAAAATCTATCGAAATATGGCGATGAAATGATCTCGTTTTTGCGATTGTAAAGAAAGTCAACGACCTCTTTGCTAACTTTCCAGACCATAGTTTCAAGATAATGCAATAACTGAATGAATAACGGTTCTACATTTTTCAAGAATTTGTACCACTGTTGAGAAATCGTCCTCGATATATTATCCCATAGATTTTCAACGTATCTTATGAACGACACGTGAATATCTTTTATAATCATGTCATATTTTTCGATTAATTTTTCAACAATATCTGCCACTCGTGCAAATGAATCACCTCTAAGTATGGTACCAATTATTTCGATAATTTTGTTATATGCTTTTTTCATTGTTTCAATAATCCATAGTAAAGAATTTCTAATAGCTTCGCCAGATTCACCCATTATTTCCCAAATTTCATTAAAAATATTTGGCAATGATTTTAATTGACTGCGTAATGATAATTCGTCAATGATATATCCAGCAAAAGTAACGATATCTTTTATATAAAATTCATTAGTATTGTACGATTCGTTGAGGTATACTTTCAAATCTTCGAAATCCGTCTCGAGTTGTTTCAAATTGCTGTAAAAATATTTCAATTTTTATTATTACATATTTTAAGTCATTAATTAATTAATCAAATATATTTTATTTTATTTTATTTTATTTTTTTTTACATACTTCCAATCGTCAAGAAATTCTTGAAGTTCTTCTTGAGAATCTTCCCAAACTTGATTAACAACACTTATACTTTCACTTTTAATGTATTGTTTCCAATAATCGATATCTTTATAAATATTTTCGTACATTTCTGAGAATGTAGTTTTTATAGTGTTCTAAAAATATATATATATATAAGTATGCAATTTAATTATAAAATTATTTGAATTATATTAGAAAATAATTGTTTACCGTAATATCACTTTTAAGTTCGGGCCTCCATTTTAAAGTTGAAGTAAGTAGCCTCGAATGATTTAATTTCAAATAAAAGGTAACATCGTACACATTGAAATCGTCATCGTAAGTTCTCCATATATCAAAAACAGCATTTCTAGCATCCGGTATTTTTCCATACATTCTTAAACTTTGTACAGCATCTATAATAATAAAATAATTATAAATTTCATGAAAACTCGAACGGATAGAAAATAAAATGTTGTCAAATTTAATTTTACCAGGTGTATAATTGACCATCATCCAAGTAAATTTATCTTCTGGATCAAGGAAGAAAAATCCTGTAGCATTGAGATCAGGTGTATTTATGATACTACCATTGATAATATATTCCGGATACTTAGGATAATATCTAACTTGGAAATATTTAACATCATCGTTATTTTCACGACGAAATAGTACTTCGTTTTGTTCGATGTTAAGACGACCACTTAATTGTCCTGTTTCTTCCGGTAGAAAACTACGTTTATATTTACCATGATTTTCCGTTTCAACGTAAACGTATTTGTGTTTGTAAAAGAAACCTTCTACATTGAGATCTAATTCAGTCTTTGGATGTTTCCCTGATATACTATAAACGTATTTTCTATCGTTTGGTAATTCACTCTCATCTTTTACCATTACAGCAAATTCCAATAATTTATCCGGATTTAAAGAATAATCTACGACAAATGCTAGATTCAATAAATCTCTAATATCTTTTTTCGAAAGTTCACCCTTGAAAGTTACATCTTTGGCAAAACTAGGATGTCTAAATCTTAAAACAGTTTCTTGATGTGAAAGCATTTTGTTAGATGTGATATTTCTCCAATCAAAAGCAACACCTATCGTACGTGTTCGTTCCTTATCTCGATCCCATTCTAATTTAGCTTCGGAATTGATCTCATCGCTGGTAATTTTGTAAGAGCCGTCTAACGTAAAATTTCTACGGGGATATGCCAAATCTAGAATTATAAATTGATTGTCCATTTCTTCGGTAGTTTTATTTAAAATGTTGACGTGATACGATATCCAGGCATCCTTGGCTAAACTTAACCAAGTGTATTGATCGAATTCTCCCGATAAAATCTTATAATTGGTCATTAATTGAATCGTATGATTCAAGTGCATGGCTTTTAAATGTATATCCTGACCAGTGTGAGTAGTTTTAATTCTAGATTCACCGGAAATATTAAATGCCGAAACGTTGTTTAATTGATAAACGTTAACATGTTTGATCTCGACAGTTGGATAATTTGTTCCTTCATTTCCTCCACTATATTCGTATTGATTTACATAAATAATACCTATCGGTTTAAATGTATTCTCTATATTTATCTGAATATTATCCTTTTCAAATCCTGCTCTAGATTGACTCTTTGAATTATAATCCGCGTGGATTATTTTTTGTTGATTGTACATCAACGTGGAATATCCATTTGTAATCTGAGGACGTTTCTTGTAACCATAAGTCAAATGAACAGCATGACGTGTAGTCAAAGGAATTTCTAATTGAAAGATTCCATCCAAAGTTGAATCAAGTTTAACACTTTGATAAGTATAATCTGAATTCAAAATAGCAGTATTATTTGGCCAGAAAAATTCGATATATCTCTTATTTTGTTTTCTGAAAAAAAATATGATTAAACAAATGAAATTTTGTTACTCTAATAATAATTCAATAATATTTTTTTTTTGGTATTGATTTACTTACAAAGTCGTAAGAACGACGAAGTTGCAACCAACGTAGGAAAGATTTGGTATCGGTGTGGTGGCATTGATAGTACCATTGACATTCGTCAAACTTTCAAAAGATATTTTTGCCGTACCAACACGCTTTCTCGCAGGTAAAAACAAATTAACGTCGATTAAATTATATCGATCCGAATTGCCATCGTAATTAAACAAAAGTACAAGGGTTTCTTCTTGTAAATATTTCGGTGTAAAGAGAGAATATTTCAATTCAATTTCTTTCTTTTCGAATGTAATATTGAACAAATTGTTAGCTGTTTGATTAGGTAACATTCCCCATGTTAAACGTAAATGTCCATCAATGTCTTGAGCTGCCACTCGTATCTGTTATTGATAAATAATATTATTATTTATTATAATAATAATAATATAAAGGATAACATTTAAATACGTAATAAAATAATGAATACAAACCGAACCGTCAGATGCATAATTGGTCTTGCCACGAACAGTATTGTATCCTATTACGTAGGACATATCTTGAATACCTTTATTAGCATGATAACTGAACAAGAAACGATGATCGTCATTATTCGGTGGTGGAAATCTTAAAGCGAATACTGCATCAATATTTTCATGATTACGAAAACCAATGCTAGCATTGCTACCAAATTTCCATTTATCGTGATCGATGTCAACGTCAAATCCAATATCGAAATTGCGAAATGATTTGTCGGGATTTTTGAAGAATATTTTTGCATTTAAGTCTTTGGTATCGTGACCATTGATTTCATATCCAGCTATGACTTTTCCAAACATATCTAACATATATAATAATTTCCATTGCAATGCAGCATAATAATGATCGTCGTTTAAATGATGATTAATTTTAACGTCACCACTGTTATTTGTCAAAAATATATTTCCATCTAACGTCAAACTTTCTATTTCTTTCAATGGTGTAGAACCATGTACGTATAATGTCGTATTACCATTAACTTGTACGTTCATGAATGTTGTCAATTCGTATTTAGTATTATTTATTTTATCATAACCATGTGCTCTAATATCCCAATTCAATGTGTTAATTAAATTCATACCTATTGAAGCATTGAAATATCTACCATTGGCAATAAATTGCAATTCGTACGTTTTACATGTTAATATTAAATTAATATCATTAATGCCAGTGGTATTTTCTTGTGGTCGTAAATTTAGATTAAAGCCTGTCAATGTATCCCTTTCCACGAACGTATTCATCAAAACGTTGTATACTTTGGAATCTTCAAGATTTGTCAATTTTCCTTCTAAGATGTATAAACTATTGTTTACTTTTGACACATGACCATCAAAATGTAAATGTTTTTGAGAAATTAAAGGTGTGTATATATCACTTTTGACAATATCGTCATTGTAACTACTAATAAATTGATATTCTTGATTGATATTGTGCGTCAAAGTAACATTCATCTGTAATACATCTTTTTCATTAATGTACAATGCATCGAATTTCAATGTTTTTAACAATTCGATCCAAGTTTCTAACAATACGAATACTTTTTTGTAATTTTTATCTTCCACTTGCCAAATTGCTATCACCTTTGACTAAATAAATATAAACATTGTTATTTATTGTATTACCAGTCGAAATAATATTTGCACAAATTTGTTTAAATATTTATACTTACTGATCTTCCTATAGGTTCATCTATCTCAGTACTAAATTCAAATTGTTTTTCTTTGTTTATGAAATTTTTCTTAAGTATTATTTTAGTTTTTGGTATTACCAATGCTGGACTAACAACACGAAGGATGAACGATGTATCCAAAAATAAATCTTTTGCCTATTTATCAAGAAAATATATATATATATATATTTTTTTTTTAAAACAAATATTTGTCAAATATTATAAGTTTATTTCTGAAAAAAATATCTTTGCATTAGTTCTTACCTCAAAATATCCTAAGAAATCAATGACACTATTTTCTGTACGAAGATTAATAGTAGATTTGTACGAATTTATATTTGTATTAACTGTTGCTTTTATATCCATCTTTTTAAAGAATTCTAATCCTGTCTCTATATTACACTTTAACATATGCGACTTCCAATCATATTCATCTTCGTTATATGTATAATTTACCATTATTTCGTTCTAAATGAAATATAACATTTATTTATTATACGTAACGGCAAAACATTTTATTTATTAATGATAATTATTGCCTAAAGGAAATTAGGGGTAAAGTGAGGATAGGTAATCAAATGTCGGAAGATCTTAGTATCCATAGCGGGTTAAAAGACCACTATGTAGACCGAGACGTAGATGGGAGGATAATATTAGAAGAGACCTGAAAGAAATAGGATACAAAGACCGTGAATGTGGAAGGATTGCGCTCAGGGACGGGAACAATGGCGGGATTTGGTATTTGCGGCAATGAACTTTCGAGTTCCTAATGCCAATTAATAATAATAATGATAATTATTGATATTAACTTACCGTTATCGATGATGTTTTATTATAATGAATATTAAAGTTCATCAACATTAAATGCACTGATGTTTCCATGTTTACTCTAAGAATATACGTCGAGAAGATTTCTGGAGCTGCATTAAAAGGAGTTTTTATATGTAGATCATTTTTAAAATAAAACATATCGTCTAAGATGAATATATCTTTGAAGGTAATCTGTCCCGGTGGAATGATCAAAAAACCCTGCACTGAATATATATCTCTACCATATAGATCAAAGTCTATTTGTAATTTTACAGGCTCCACTATAACTGGCCATACCTGTATTATCATTAACAATAATTAATTATTCTAAATTTGATATATTATTTATAATTATTGTGATAATTCTTACTGTAAATTGGCCTTGATAAGGTTGTATATCTTCTTCATATTCATCATCTTCATCACTATTTGAATTGATTTTAGTGTCCATTTTGGTAGAAATATCATACGGAGATTGTTTAGGTCTAACATTAGCAAATAATCCAAGTTTAACTTCTGCTAAATTAATTGAGAATTCTGTATCCAATAGAAAACTTGTTTGTTGAGTTTCATTTAATTCTGGATAAAGTAGTTTCAATTTAGCAGTAACACCACTTTCCTGAAGACCGTATAATGGTGTGAACAATTTATACGAATAATTAAAGTCAGTAATATTTTTGTAACACCAAGCACCCATAAATCCAGCTGTCATATTGTTATATGCAACTCTAAAATCAGCTTCTTCTTTGTTAAGTTTAGCAACAAATAACGATCTTTGAAGAATATCTATTGGTGTATTAATTGATAACAGTACGTTGAAATCGTAAGATGATGTAAATAATTGACAGATAGCTTCAAAACCCAAAGTACCATTTGGAATACTGATTTCAGCAACTACGTGTCTCTGACTTTCTGACAAACCAAAGTTCGCAGTAATTTTAGAATATTTTTCTATCGGTGTTGTTAAAAGAAATTTCAAATATGATTCTTTTAGTCGATGAAAATCTCCGGTCAATGATCCAGCGTAATTTCGTTGATCAAAATCCATAGTAATTAAACCTGATAAGGTACGATTGGGCTTTACATGTAATTGAGATTTTATTTCGCATCTATTATAATTAATCAAGGGTGAATTAACGAGTATTGATCCAGTCAAATCAAATGAGTTCCAGGATTTTGCATCCAAGATCCAATCACTTATTATATCAATTTTTTTCTGCGGATGGTATTTTATTATTATTAGATCACGCATTTGGTTTGAAGACAAAATCAGGTGCGTAATGTTAGCCGTTAACCAATTGAAAGGATGAATCGTACTACTTAAGCCGAAATTGCATAACCATTCGGTTGCATCAGTGTGAATTTCTCTTTCGTATAATTCAAAATTTCCCATAATGTATTGAGTATCATTCCAATGAACACTACCGCTTGTTACTACTTTTTTCTGTATTTGAAAATAACTGAAAACAAAAATAATTATATATATATATATATTATTAATAATAGAAAAAGAAAAAGAAACAATCATATTAATTGTTTTTTCACTTACTTAGCTTCCAACGCGGTTTTCTTCCATTGATCAAAAGGACTTGATAATTGGGATTTAAATTTAAATGATTTTACCCCTTTCTGAGTGAAATAATCAAAATCTATGTCTAGCAAAATCGTTTTGTCTGGATTCCATTGAATTATTCCATTTATTTTATAATTATATGAATCTTTTATAATTAACGAACAATAACTGTTAATTGATCTACCAGGATAACTCAAATATACTTTGGCTTCTAATTTTTGTTCGGGTAAATTATCGAGCGATGATGATGGTTCATAATATTTATCCAATAACAAACCCGATGTGAATTTTGATGCAGGATCTCTGTTGGCATCCCATTTTAATTCGATACTATATTCTTTTTTATCCTCTTCATTGATACCGGTTAATGTTAAATGTACATCTCGCCATTTGTCAAGATGAATTTCTACTTTGATCTCTTTTTCTGTATCAACATTATTCAAAATTGAATACACGTTACTTTTATATCTACCTTCGATGTAAGTTGTGAATTGTCTGATCGATAACACCGTATGATTCAAAATAAATGCATATTTATCCATATCTTGTTGTTCCACATAAATACTAATTTCCAGATCATTTGTATTCTGATACAGTTTAGAATTAATAATAATATCATTGGCAAAACTTGATGATTTTAATATAAGTTTTAAATTATGACTTATCGATGCTGGGCTTGATCTATCTATATACATTCCAAGTGCAGTTAGAAAATGACCGGAAAACCAAGTTCCAGAGAAATCCAATTCATATTCTCGTTTTGATCTTTCTGTTATTCGAACGTTGATAACAGTTGAATTGAAATTAGGAATCGTCAGAATAACTCTACCTTCTATTGCAAACAACAAACCACGTGGCATTTTTGTTCTCACCATCAAAGTAATTTCTTTCTCTAAACAAAAATTAATATAAGTATTACGCGATTATTTATGATATTATAATTAATTAAAAATATTAAACAAACCTGGTGCATATCCAATAAGAAAACTAGTCTTAGATTCTATACCAGATGAGTAATGATTTACTCCTACTTTAATATCAAGATGTTGTATTGGTTTTGTAATAGCAATTAATGCACTGACTTTAGTTCCTTGATTTTGAAAATACATTCTTGAATAAGATATTATGAGTTGTGCAACAAGTTTATGTCTTTCATCTTGAAGATGTGGACTTGAATTAACTTCAGCATGTAATTCTAAATGTCCTAAGGCTTGTTGATACCACGCTGTTATCACCGTATTCAATTGTGGATATGCGGTAGAATGTAATTTCAAATTAGCCGATTTGTGTGCCAAAGTTTTCGTGGATCGATTGGACAACATAATTTCTAAATGCAACGTCTCTTTCTTTGGCATTTTTTGAAGTTGATAATTCAATTGAAAATCACCATCTAAACTAACGTTTCTCTTAACAATATACCCAACCAATTTGCTCCAAACTTTTTTCGTTTGGAATATTAATTCGATTTCACATTGAGACAAATTATTTTTCTGTGTGTTTCTTATTTCACCTGAAAAAAAAGAGAAAAAAGAAAAAAAAACAAACAATTTTTATACAATTCAATTAAAAATGATAAGAGTATTAAACAAAAATAGTACCATGATAGATGAACATACCTGATACAGCTGCTACTCGTTCACTATTGATATCCAAATAGAATTTAGGATTATAGATGTAACCATAAGTGAATTTTTGTGTTGTATATCCAATGCTAGCATCCAAATGTTTAGTTCCATTTACATCGAAACCTATTTCTATAAATGTTTCATTTTCCGTTCTCTTATACGTACCTATAACATTTATCAATTTAATATTGTAATATATTTGTTTGAATAATAATATATCATAAAATTACCACGAACCTTTTGCAATTAAAGAATTTCCAACCGAGTGTAATACAACAGTTACATTATGATTTTTTAAATCGAACGATACAGTAGCACTCAATTCTCTTTTCATATGTGATTCAGGTGTATCAAATGCCATTTTGAATACGCTTTGTTTCTACGATCAAAATCAAAATCATTAATATCGTTTATAAATTATAATATATTATATTTTGTATTAAAAATAATGATTGAAATAATAACGAACCTCCGTTCGTACCCATTTGTATTCTAACAAATAACTTTTAGCAGTGGGATCAGCTTTGATTACCGAAACTTTAAAAAGGGTTGGTCCATTCAAAAGGAAATATGGTGCATTAGGATCATTCGTTACATTAGGAAATTGATAATCAACACACATTTTCAGACCGATAAGTCGATCAAGTGTTTGCCAAGTGCACGTAGTATTGCTAATAACTCTTTCAGGTAACATTAATTCTTTCGATGAAGCTGATTGTCTATCGGTTTTTAAAATACCTAATTGTGTTTCTTCACTTTCTGCTCCATTAGTTTCTACCCAGAACACGTGGGTAATGATTGAGAAAATTTCTATTTTATTGTTTGGTAAACCAAGATTCAATTGTACCAAACGCATTCCGTCTAAATTAAAATGCATTTGTACGGCACCGGACGAATAAATATTCGTACGTAATTTAATTCCAGCATTTTTATAAAATGCATCTACCATCATAGTGCCCACGATGTCGACGCTTACGCTGCAATGACAAATCATGACAATTTATATTTATCTCATGTTACAAATGATAAATATTGAATTTTACATTTGAATTAGTTTCTTACCTGGGAGTAAAATTACCTATAAGTTCTAATTTGGTATTCGTCGTACGACTGATGTTTAAAAAGCCAGCCAATTTAAATTTACAAGCTGCCGAACCAGCAAGATCTAAACGTATGGGTAAACCAGACGTTGTTGGTACTACATATGTAGAATCAAGGAACATCACTGTGTTATCGTAATATATTTCTTGGCCTGATAAAATCTTTCTTACTTTTTCCCATGGATTTAAACTAGCTAAAGCATCTTTGATTTCTTTGTCACCATTTAACATCGTATATTTTAATTCATTTCCAAAAATCTGTATAAATGTATATATATATATATATATATAATATAACTAGAAATATAATTATTAATATTAAAAATAATATCTTCATCGTTTTATATACCTTATACCCAAAACTGATTTTGGGATCGTTGAAATTATTATCAATGATATTAGGTAATCTTTTAACTTGCGACCATTGATCCTCCCTTTCCGGCACGGACCTAAAATTCCTTATCAAATTTTTAAAATGATTAGATACTTTTTCATTGCTGTAAGGTCCGTCCGGGCCAAACAAATTTTCTGCGTAATATTCAAGACCCTCCATTCTCATCGAAACTTCGAATAAATTAACAGACTCGCCTAATAAATCTATGGTCATGTTGAAACTTGCGGTACGTGGTATATACGATTTTGGTGAAAATATTAAATTACTTTGATGATTTGCACCAAAATTATATTCCTCGGAAAAGAATGAACCTTCGTAATTACGTGAAAATTTTCTAATGTCGCTGTTAAATTTATTACCAAAATCTCTGTCGGTTAAAAGACTTTGTATTTCAATTCGAGTTGGTGACGATGAACTATAAAGATTTGTTAAATGACTCCATACGAAGGATCCAACTATATCAAAATTAAACGAATAAAATATTAATTATTAATATTATCTCGTTTGATTATAAACCTAATTATGTTTTCATTGATTACCTTGATTAACTTCTTCAACTTTAAGAGTATGTTTGATCGTCTTTATGACGTTGTAATCAGGACAACGCATTATTTGTAAATACGATGCTATACGTAATTCAGAATCAAGTGTAAAATTACGATAATAATTTAATAAGTAACGATCCCGAGTTAATTCACAGGAAGGTAATCTACGATGTGCATTTATTGCTGCAACACGTACTTCCATCGTTACAAAACCACCTGCATTGTCTATACAAACTTTTAATTTGTCCGACAAATCGTCAGTTTCCAATCCCATATTTTCAATAGCTTTCAAAGCTTCCAATGTCTATGATATAATAAAATAARATAATAACGTGGGACATTATCTACATTAATAATAATTCGATGATACTTACTTCTTTAACTTCTGCTAACGGATGATAACGAAGAGCACAACCCTTATTGATTTTTTGTTTGAGATAAGACATAAATTTGGTAATATCTTCTAGATGAGTACAATCTATATTAGTTGATTTACAAAACGTATGAATAACGGATGAATAACTTAAGATAAATTGTGTGTTAGGCATTTGATGTTGAAAATCTAAGAGTGGTGCAAGTGCTCGTACAGTTCCATAATTTGGTCTTGGTATTAAACCAAATATCGTGATCCAATTAGCTGTGGTTTCTTCATTGACATATTTTTTTATTATTAAATCCTTCATAACGTTAACTGCAGCATTGCTTCCCATATATGGTAATGCATCGACTATTTGTTTTCTTGTAGAGTTAAAAATAATACAATACTTAATATGCATATAAAAATAATATATATAAAAAAAAAAAAATATGTTAATAAATATTGATAACTTACTTGCCAGTTTTACATATACTATTTGCTCTAGCGAACAATTGTGATAAATAAGGATAATCAAGAAGACGAGCTGATTGGACGAACGCTATAAACGTTTCGGAAAATCTATGTTGAATTTCATCAGAATTAGCGCCATTTCTACATAAAATTTTTAACAAATCTCGAGAAGTTCTTAATTCTCCGTGTATCGTTTTAGATACCTTCTCATGATCGTAAAGTAAATTTGTTCTAATAGCAATATCCTTGCTAGTATTTTCATTATCGCCTTCTTCCGATTCTTCATCCTCGTAAAATTCTTCTTTGCTTTCTTCTACGAGTTGAAGTATAGCGATACTTTCGGTTCTAGCACTTGCAGAGTTATCGTTTGATAACGGTCGAAGTTGATGAGTATCTTTACAAACAACCCTATCGTATACGTTATGATCGATCGTTATTTCACATTCGGTAGAAGATTTCAATAAAGATCGTTTAGATGTTTTCGTAGTTGATCGGGTATTTTTATAATAGTTAGATTGCATTACTGAAAGATGTTTTGAACTGAATTGACAGTCGGCTAAGTTCTTCGTTCTTTTGATAATCAATTGAGTCTTTCTTGCTTCATATAATCGGTAATTGGTCTCACATATGCCATTAACATCGAGTTCGTCAACGCGATGATCAACGTCGAATCTTTTCATAGTATTTTGTAGCATTGAAAGGACACCGCGTTTCAAGTTCAATGCCCAAACCGTTTCACGACGGTCCGGGCAGACCTCGTTTATTCTACCATCATCAAAAGCAAATCTCAATGTATAACGTTCCAAGCTGGCCTTGAAATCTGCCCCAGCACGATCAGGAAATTCGGCATTATAACGATTACGATCGTGACTTAAGCTAACATTTTGAAATTTCAATACACCCTCGCATGGTGACGTGAAATAAACGATCAACGATGCATCTATGTTTAATTTTGTTTCATTTTTTGATTCTATTCCGTTCGATGGTAATGTTCCAGCTTTACCGAGATTCGTGCTTACATCAACTGAATATTGATACTGATACGAGACACCTTCTTGATACTTAAATTTCCGTTCGTATGGTACTGCAACGCGAAGATTTTAATTAATTATATCGATAACATTCAAACCGATATAATTTTTTTACATAAATTTATATATAAATATATCAGCCATTTATTTTCTAGATCGGTTAACTCAAAATACAAAATAAAAAGTAATGTAAATTAATAGAATTATATATATATTGTTTCAAATTAAATATAAATATTGCCAATGCTTACCCTTGCATCTCGTGCGACTACATAATGTCGGATCTTTAATAATTTCTGAAACGAAGAGTTAAAAAAAAGTATATAAATTATACGATTTATAATTAAATTATAAATCAATGCAATCTCAAACATAATCGAAATATTTTACGTTACCTCCTTGTACAATTTGAATGAGAACAAACAAACAAAGAAGTATCATCCTCCAAAAGAAGATTTGCTGATTGTAAATCATTTTATCTTTTTTTTTTTTTCACTTTCTCTCTCTCTTTCTCTATCTCTTTTTTACTATCGTCGATTACCAAGGTCACTGTCTTTCTAATATAACCGTCCTCTACATTCCCCCATATGCACACTTATCCCTTTATTATAATTGACACTAAGTTACACTCTTAATCATAAAATTGCAATGTTTGTTTTTATATCTTCTTTGCCAACGTAAAATTTGCCCGAGTTATTCAAAAAAAAAAAACAAAAAACAAAAAAACCAGTTCAGATTCTTCAATATCAATCCTCCTTTAGATAACACATTGATGAAAGATTTATCCTCTTAAAACGCAACATCGTTCTTCTTTCGGATAATATCCTATCCCGGTAGGAGGAAGAATTGTTTTTTCTTTTTTTTTTTTTGTAATTAATAATAATTTTGTATTTTGTGTAGATATTGGATATTGGATGTTGGATGTTGGATCACAACACGTTGTTAGTCAGGAAGATACCAGAGAGTTCGAACAACGAATAAGTCAAAGTGAGGACCGATTGTGGGGTGCAAAGCTAAGCTCTAGCCACAGAGCTTACTTGATTAAACGTATACACGAGTAGAGACACGATAGTATCGGTTAAATAAGTACTTCCTGTCACGACCGTGTCCGCAGTTCGAATAGACGTCGTCGTCCTCCAATAACACATATGCTTAGGGGGAGAAGATCGGTGCCAAAGGTCTTCGTGCTTTTCGTGTTTATACGAGGTCAAAAGTCTTCTATCGATAAGATAAGTAGAAGAACGATCTTTCGTTTATTTTAATCAATTCTTAGGAACTAAGAATTATTCGATTCCATAAGCTTTCTTCGATTTATGATCAGTAAATACGATAAGGTGAAAGAAAAAAAAAATAAAGAAAAAAAATAATCTTTAGATAAAATTTTATTAAGGATATTTTGTACTTTTTAATATCTCCTTTCATTTTTTTTTAATCTCATTTCGATCTGTTCATTGGAATGGCCAAGTACAAAATATTGATTTCGTGGTTTCATAATTCATTCAGTATATATGTATATATATATATATATATATATATATTTTTAGATTAATTTTGATATATTATTTCCGGTAAGTATCAGTAACGAAACTTGTTATTTAAGAATTATACGAATAATTGAGCCGTTGATTTTTTTTTTAATTGATCGTAATAATACAATTGGAATTTAGTTGTTATAAAAAATACTTTGTGGAAAAAAAATCGATGTATTTAGATCACTATCAATATAAACAACTCAATTTTCGTGTAGTAGATACTTTGTAACTTCCATTACGTTTTTCTTCTTATCGCTAATTCAAATGTTTATTCTTCATTAGAAATTTGATAACATTATTAGCATGCGTAAAATAAAATTATTGCAAAAAATTTATTCATCTTATAGGTTTTTGCAATCATTATTACGATCAATTTTTTCAATACTTTTTAATCGCTTTATTTAATTAGTATTTAATATATATATATATATATATATATATATAAGTTTACAAAAAATACGTAACATTTTTTATTTAATTTCAATCAAATATATATATATATATATAATTGCAATATTTAGCTGAAGATTATACTTGTTAATATTACAAAGAAATATATTTTATCTCAACAACATAATAATATATTTAATTAAACAAATATGAATTCGCTGATAATTGATTTAATCGATTTAATTACATAGTACATTGAATCTTACGTATAAAACAATTAATTACACATTTATTTAATGAATAAATACGATACCATTCAAAATTTGATTTCAAAATACTACGTAGTACAAGATTCAACATGGCCGACAAACGAGGACCAATAGAAAGACGCCCTTTTACGTTCATTTACGGAACACTACGCATAGCCAATAAGACCATGCCTTTGTCCAATCAGTTCGTACAAACAGTTCTTACGACTAAGAAGTATTAACAGAGTAAAAAACATGTACTACCTCGATGTAAGAAATATTTTTTTTCTCAAATTTGTGACTAACTTCCATAGTCTGTTTGTCTATATCTTTAAATGTGTGCGTGAGACCACTCAGCTGTTAGTTGTATGAGTATATGACAGGAGATGTTCTGGTCATAACAATTCGCGTGTGGTGTATATTGTCAAAACGAGACGATTTGTTATATTCATCGTGCAATTAAATTTAGTCTTGTGACAAGTAACTAAAGAAAGTTATGCTCTTGTAAAAAGAAATGAGGACTGCGTTTGGTACGTCTCATATTGCTTTGCTAATTGTTTTCTAATACGACATCGGACTCGAAGTCGAATGAGAAGCAGTGATAAAGGAGGAATCGTTGATAGGAACTTGATTGCACATCAAAATGGGAAATTGTCTGAAACGCGCGGGAGGCACTCAACAGGACAATACCACTTTGCTCAGCAGCAATCCCGATCCTTCGATGATCGGAAGTTCTTCTCAAGAAGTACTTGGATCTCAAATACCTTATAATGTAACTTTATTTTATTATTATATCTCTGTGTAATGAATAGAATTTTATTTACATTGCTTAACATCTCAAGATGATCAAATTTCTATATTTATTATTTTTTATCTCTAAGAGACATTTCATATTTCTTCTTTGTACTCTTTTTTTTTTTTAATTTTGCAACAAATGTCAAAGTTGTTATGCTATTGAGTAATGACATTTCAAATTGTAAATTATTGTAATATTTAACTTTAACATTGATAAATATTTGATAAAACTAAAAATATAATTATTATTGTAGGAAATTATGGGATCTTATTATCCAGCAGTAGCAACAAGAGAGCATCGTTTACAATCTAATTTAAATGTTTCACGTGGAATAGGAGTTAATTTAGGACTTGGCGTTACACCTGGTAGTATAAGCGAAGAAGAGCAGCAGGTACGAATTGCAAAGCGTATAGGACTTATACAACATTTGCCCATGCGGCAATATGATGGTACGAAGAAAGGAGAATGTGTGATATGCATGATGGAGCTTATGATAGGAGAAGAAGTACGCTATCTACCTTGTATGCATACTTATCATGCAGTGTGTATCGACGATTGGTTACTTCGTTCACTCACTTGTCCGTCATGCATGGAACCGGTAGATGCTGCTCTCATTAGTTCGTATCATCCTACTACCTAATATCACAAAAAATCTACTGGAATAGTTGGTCGGAAATCCGATTAAACTAACAGGCTAAGCAAAGTGACTTGAAGAATTGCTAATTTTATCATTACATACAAATGCTTGATTATGGAAAGACTACTCGATTAAAGGCTAATTATATTTACTATTGTATATGATATGATACATATATATATGCGCCTGTGCTAATTGATAAGTATAACAGTGAAATATTTGAATTATGAGTATCCTTTATATGATACTTCCTTGTTATAAATCAAGTATTATATTTGAGTTGGAAGAAAATAATAAGTTTTATTTCTGTAATAGAAATGCAATACCAACATGATCTCTTTCTTGTAAACTATCATGTATGTATTATTTTGTAGGAATATATAATATTCTTATTATTTTGTGGCCTGAGTAAACTCAAATCAAGCATATAAATAACATGAAAATACAATTTAATTATGTAGACATAGATCTACGTCATGTTAAAGTAGTCGAGACATGGTAGGAAAAAGTGTATGCAGTTGTGGTAAACATAAACAATAGGGGACTATATAATAAATATAGTTGATTCTTCCTTTTTTTTTCATAATGTTATCTATATTTTTTCATTACTTCTTATGTGTAATTTTAACTTATATTGAAAAGTATTGAAATGTAGATAATTTATAATTTTGAAAAAGTAAGCATAAATCCTACAGATTGTAATTTACTTTTGATTTGTTGCATAATCCCCAATTGTTGAGAAGTATGCAGTAGCTCATTCGTATTCAAGCATAATCTGACATCTAATCAGGATTGATTGTTAAGCTTTTAAAAGATTAGTTATCTAAATATGAAATGCATAATGTGATCTAGTAAATTATAAGTGTAAGGGTGCGAAACATCGATGGAATCTATATTTTCATAATGAACTTGACTTGTAAGCATTTCAATTATTCTATTAACTTGAAATCTTTGGTGCATTTTTTTCTTATATTTCATAAGAATATCAATAATTGCACTATTATTATGTAATGAAACATTACACAAAATTCATACAATCGCACATTGCATTGCATCAACATTGTTAATGCTTCCTCTAACAGAGACAAAACTAAGAATGATACAATAATTAAAATGTATCTTTAACTTGTATTAATGGTTTATCGTATTAAACTTGTTGCTGCAACTACAGTTTAATGAAATACTCTGCATTATATATGAGATGGCTGCAAATGAAACATTCACAAAGAATTGTATAAATTAAATTTCGTAATATCAAGAAAATACATATGGTTGCGGTGATTATTTTTCTATTGTTGAATTTGAGATCTAGATTTACATAACACACATTTTATAGAATATCTTTTAGCTTCAAGACAAATCAAACAATAATACAAAATATGTGTATCTATATAATGTGATCAATGGAACACCTAGGCTTGACTATAAATTGAATAGATTTGTTAAATCATCTTTTGCATTAATGATAAGTCAAAGAACAATTAAATAATCTATTTCATACACCAATACATAGTATGAAAATTTGCTGACTAGAAAAGTGTAGTTAAGATGAAGATGCGAATACAGTTTTAATATTTTATGACAGCTTAATATGTAATACCTGCTAAGTTTTTGTTTAAATGGGAATATGAAGCTGTGAAATAGTGATTTACTGATGATATAAAAATATACGTATAGTGATTTAATACAAATATAAATATTTAGTAACAAATTTTGTCTTATCAAACATTTTTTTGTCCTTATCATTAATTTAATATTTAAAGTGTTATCTCGATATTAAAAAAAAAAAAACAAAACAAAAATTAATGTATTTGAAATATTTTTCAAGTTTATTAAAAATGATTAATTCATATGTAAAAATACAATATTAGGGAATTAAAGGAATATAAATTTGTACAAAATTATGAATTATAAGATATATTTAACAGTTCACACCATATAAGAATTGAATATAACATTTCACATACAATTAAAAAAACAACATGATATTCGGAGGCAGTGAAATTGAAGATTCATCACAATAGGCAATATCGTTAATCTTTAAGAAAATCGACTCTATTTTTGTGAATTGGTAAGTCAGCGTAAAGATATAATAGTTTTTAAGTGTAGAAAACCTCTATTTTAACATAATTACATTAAAATATGCATAACAAAGTATTCAATAAATAAATATTCGGATGTAGAATCCAGTATAGAGAACATACTTAATATAAAAGCTTTTATACACTGTTAGCTTAACTTATTATTTATCTCGTGTTAAATATTGTTCATTGAAATAAGTTATAAATAATTTCTAAATCTTAATACAATTTATTTTAATATAGGTCTTAATATTTCTGTTGGTACTTCCATCGTTTGATCATCTACTAATACGATATCAAATTCATTCATATAATTGTGCAGATTTTCCTCTGCCTGTAATAAAATAATATTACAAAAATATTTATATAAACATTTGCAAATATATTTTAATATATATGTTAAATCAGAAATAATCTTACTTTGTCATACAAAAATCCAATTTTTAAAACTGCAACTGTGTCATCCATACCATCGACCATACTTGCGTCTCCAGTTGTATCACCCATTAATAATACATGTCGTCTTCCTTCGATGACTTTAAAATAATCTTGTTCCATGGCATGTTCATTTTTATTAAAAACATGTATTAATTTTTGATTTTTAAATCCGTCTATTTGATTGCCATTATATTTAAGAAAATTCGATATAATTTTAACATTATTAAACAAAACTTGATGACATTTTAAAACTGCTTCTACAGCATCCCCTAAACCAGCACTGAATACAAGAACTGGTATGTTAGCGTCATTTAATTTTTCCAAAAGTTCTTTGGTACCATCACGTAAAGGTGTACCATGTTTTTGTACCACTTCGGATAATTCTTTAGGATCAAATTCTATTCCTTTTAATAATTTTTCAGCAGAAGTCATCCAATCGCTCATAGCTTCTATTTTTTCTTCTAAAGCTAAATTTGGATCTATCTCTATAGGTCTGTATTTTTGATACAATCGTTTAGATTCATTCGTATATGAAGATGGTAATTGATTACATTTTCCAAACAAACCTAAAATTGTTTAAATATAAATTACAATACAATATATGTTAATAAGAAAAAAAATTATATTAATTAAATCAAAGCATATAAAACATTTGTAATAAAATATAATATAAAATAATATAAACATTACCAAAACTGCTGAGCACCAATTTACCATCAACATGTTGTTTTGTTAATGTTAAGTCAAAATCTGTAACAACCTGTCAAATATTTATCAAATTTTTATTCACACGCATAGGTTATTTCAAATTTGTTATAAATGAAAATAATTTAACAAAATGTACCTGCAAATGGTCTGGTCCATCCCGTAACATAATATTAATCGTATTCATTGTAGTATTTATATCCTTGATATAAACATGTTTTGACTTGAAAATGGGAAACTGTGGATGACAAAAGAAATATATTAAAAAATGACATAATTAACAAATTCATATATAATATAACAAATTAACGATACATACATCATCGATGGTAAGTTTATCGGGCATTTTTCTGCACAAAAGAAAAGCAAAATTAATTCAAATGAATAAGTATCAATTGAATTAACAAATGAACATCATTAAATATTTCTTTTTAAATCTTTTGGTCAGTGCACACAATACAGTTTCATTTACCCTTGACCTATTAAATTACTAATTCACCTACTCGAACACCTTAAATGATCATTTAACTAGTTTCTAATTTGACATATTAGCCAATGATGTTGCTTCAGAATTGTATACAATTTTATAAAGATTTACCATCACTTTTTGTTTGGATTGTGTGTGATTGCAGCGACAGGTACGAATATAATATGAACTACAAGTAGAATAAAGGAATCTATTTTATCGATATGTAATAAGTTTTTGAATGTACAGGAAATTTTCAAATATGTGAACATTATTTTAATGGTAGAGTATCTTAAAATGTAAAAATAATGTCATTTATTTAATTGTACCAAATTCGTCACGAATTCTTTGCATTTATTTAACAGTTATTTAATTATTCTAATACACTCTACTTATATTACAGCATTATTTAAGACTCGTAGTAATCACTGCACATGAACAATAAAATAATTACATTAGAATGAATAAAATAATAAAATCTGTACATTATAATCTTGAATTTTCATTATTAGAATTTTAATTACCTTTGCAGAAATAATCAACATAAGAAAAATCATAAACAACTTTCTAATCAAAGTTTTGTTTTAGAGAACAATGGGTCAGTCTATAAGTGAATTTCGAAGAGGAAGGTACTCCAATAATATATCTCGTACTTTTAAACAATAATCGATAGTTCTGTCGATAATTTAACAATTATTTTAATATTCTTATACACTCTACCTATATTACAGCATAATTTAACACTCGAAGTCATCACTGCGCATGAACAATAAATAAAATTACATTAGAATAAAAAGTATGTTAAAATTGGAACGTTATAATATTGAATTTTCTTTATTAGAATTATAATTACCGTTGCACACATGATCAACATATATGAAGTCATATAAACAACTTTCTAATCAAAGTTTTGTTTTAGAGAACAATGGGTCAGTCCATAAGTGAATTTCGAAGAGGAAGGTACTACAATAATATATCTCGTACTTTTAAACAATAATCGATACTTCTATCGATTAGTTAACAATTATTATAATATTCTAATACATATCTCTTATGTTACAGCATAATTAACACACGAAGTCATCACTGCACATGAACAATAAAATAATTACATTAGAATGAATAAAATAATAGAATTTGAACGTTATAATATTGAATTTTCTTTATTAGAATTTTAGTTACCGTTGCAGAAATAATCAACATAAGAAAAATCATAAACAACTTTCTAATCACAGTTTTGTTTTAGAGAACAATGGGTCAGTCTATGAGTGAATTTCGAAGAGGAAGGTACTCCAATAATATATCTCGTACTTTTAAGCAATAATCGATACTTCTTTCGATTAGTTAACAATTATTTTAATATCCTAATACCCTCTACTTATATTACAGCATAATTAAACACACGAAGTCATCACTGCGCATGAACAATAAAATAATTACATTAGAATGAATAAAATAA